AAAAGAAGAAAAGAACAAAAAGAAATGAACTCAAATGTTGAAAGCAAACAAAGGTGCGGATTGCTCAAAATTTGATTGAAGGCATAAGCTCCGCCGATCCTGCTTTGACCCAATGCTGCAGAAAGAAACAACACCTATAACTTGCGAGCATCAAGATTTAGATCGGAGTCCACAGCAAAATTAGCTAAGACTCAAGATCAAGCTTCAAGAGAATTATAGATAGGAATCTTGTAACTCATAGTTGATAGGCATAGCTAGCTTAGCTTTGATTTTCCTTTTGGTGTAATAAGGAGGTCAGCAAGCAGTAGCAACAGCAACAGCAGTGAAATCACAGCTCCTGGTAGTCCCAGCTACCAAACCTTCCAGAACTACACTGGCCTGATTCCTTTTCAGCCAAGGATATGTAGGCAACCTTTGAAGCAGGGTTCGGTCAGACGGTTTTCAAAATTGCTTCTCATGGAGTGCCGAGCGGGCAAAAATCTCTCATATTTGCTCATTTATCTTTGCCCGAAAACCCTTCGTGTCTCCGAGCAAAGAGGGGCAGCTGTGAGCACGTGATTTTTGCCTCACTTGAATTACTCCTACAGAATTCTTAAAATTAGGATTTTCCTTTTATTATTTGATTTTTAGGATTTAATTGCGTAATTTTGTGTGTGTATTTGCATTGGTATGAGCATGATTAGTTAGATAATTCATACAAAACATAAAAATATTGCATTGGCATTTAGGATTTAATTTTACATTTTTTTAGATCAATTAGTAATTAAAATTGATTTGTTTGGTTTGGTTTAAATTTTAGCTTTGAGGTTTATTAGTTTCCTTTAAATTGGTATTTTAGTAGTAGTTTTAATAATAGCTTAATTAGGTAGGTTGAATTAATTTTTTAGGTTCAATTTTAGTTTTGAAAAAAAAAAGAGAAAAGAAAATAAATAAAAGAAAAGGAGTTAAATGAAAANATTCGCCCATTGAGTGTGAGCACATGTATTTTTGCCTCGACTTGAATTATTCCTATAGACTTCTTAGATTAGTAATTTTTCTTTTATTATTTTATTTTAGGATTTAATTGCGTTAATTTGTGTGTATTTTTATTTGTGTGTGCACGATAATTCATTAAAAATATAAAATATTGCATGAGCATTTAGGATTTAATTTTGCATATTATTAGAGTAATTAGTAATTAGAGTTTTACAAAAAAAAAAAATCATAAAAATTAATTTTTAGCTCGAATTTTGGTTAACTTCGTTTAATTTGTTTCAATTAATTGTAGTAATCATCATTTAAGGTTAATTATCTTAATTAGGTCCTTAGAATTTTATTTCAGGTTTTTATTTTAAAAGGAAAAGGAAAAATATCCAAAAAAGGGAATTAAATGAAAAAACAGAAAAATAAAGCAAAGAGGAAAAATTGGGCCTTTTAACATCTAAGTTTTGGACCAGACCTAAATACAAGTCATCGTCCCAAATCAAAGCTCCCTGAACCCGTCCAAAATGCCCAGACCCAGCCCAAAAATACCCGGTCCAGCACCCAATTCCCAAAACGACCCTATTTCAGTGACTTTTAATCAGGACCGTTGAGGTTCTTTAATCTAACGGTCCTGAAGCCGGGATGATTTTATATATATATGTCTTAACCTACCCTGCCCCCCTCAGCTTCCCCTCCCCCCTTCGTCTCTCTCAAACCTCTCACTGGAAACCCTAACTCTGCCGTCTACCACCGCAAACCGGCGGCCGGAAATCGCCTCCGCCGCCGGCGATCCTCCATTCGCCCCCAAAATTTCACCACAGCCTCGTCTCCTTCTCCTCATTATGGATCTGTAAGTGTTCACCTTCAAATCACCCCAGACATCCTCGAGTTTTAAATGAAAGAAACAAAACCCTAATCCGTTCTCCCCTTCTGATTTCCAATGTTTTCAAGGCTCGATTCAAGCCAAAAAATTATGCCAGTCAATTGTTCTCAGTAAGAACAATTGATTAGTGTCATTTTTGGTTCATTTCGAAGATCACCGGATTCCGGCCAAGTCAACACTGTCCAACTAAGTTCGTCGCCTTTGTCGATTGCTTAAGGTTAGACCCGTACTTTTCTTCCTTTATTCTTTACTTCGTTTTGCTTCTTGTTTTCTTTGTTTCTTGTATTTTGTGTGTTTGAATCAGTGATAGTTGATTAGAATCAGCAATTTTAGTTTGTTCAAGTTTGATTAGGATTAATATATTACTGAATTTGTTTTTGATTGAGTTTGATTTTTTGTTGTTTGGGATTATATAGTTTCAGTAGGAAATTTTACTAAAGGGCTTGACGAAACAGCTTTCTTGGTCTCTTTTTTTTTCTTTTTTTTTTAGGCTTGGGCTGTTAGTATACAGACTCATGGGCTTGGTTTAGGGCTTGGGGCAATCTGATTCACATTGGCTTGGTTTCAGGGGTAAATATTGGGGTCTTAAAGGTTAGTTTAAGAACTCTAGGTTAGGGAATCTTGCAGTAACAGAAATAGGAAGCCCCCAGAAGCCTCTAGTGTGGGGTTTTAATTTGAATTTCAGGTTGTGGGTAGTATAACTTGGAAAATAAGTCAGAATCCTAGGGACTTTTAAGCAAAAAACATAAATAAAAAAGGACCTAAGGGGCAAACAAAAAATGAGCAGGGCTACCCTAATTACTTGCCTATAAAGGCATACCATTCTTGCCTTGCAAGTCAGATTTTAGGGCCAAAAGTTTTTCAGAGATTGGAGAGCCTAAAATTTGAGAACCTAAAGTTTGAGGGATCAAATTTCTGAGAGATTGAAGAGCTTACAAATTCTAAGAGCTTAAAATAGCAGAAAATTCTACAAAAAATACTGTTCTATTGAGGTCTTTTGAGATTTTCATCTTCCAAACAATTCCTGAAGAGCAGAAGCCAAAAATGAGTTGAATCGGTTGGGTATTGGGTTGTTTTGGTTCAGTTTGGGTTGGATCTTTGATAATTGGTTTCTATTGACATTGCTTGGTTTCAAATTTGATTCAATTGGATTTCTCTCGATCATTTCTGGGCGATTTCACTGCTGAAATACTGTCCCCGTTACTGCTGTTACTGAATTTGCTGCCTCTTACCTCTTCGTTGTTTCCTTCTCATTCCCAGGTATTCTCCTAGCTCAAGTTGAGGATCAGTTGCTGAATATGTAATGGATTTGAAATGGATTGAATGAAGGATGCTTCAAATTGATCTTCCTGTTATTTTACTGTAGTTTACATCTCATACTTAGCATTATAATAGGCAGTGTTTAGGCTTCTTCTTCCTGAAACTTGTGTGCAAAAGAGATTCTTATAATAAGTTTGTTTTATGTGTATTAATAAACTGGACTGTTGAACTATATCATGTCCTATTCGTTTGTTTCAGATCTAGTAGTGTAGATTAGTTTGCAATTCATGTTTAGCTTAAATATTAATAAACTGGATTGTTGAACTATATCATGTCCTATCCGTTATGTGTAAACTTTCAAATATCTTCAAGGTCTATTATCATGTTTCAACAATTCGTTTGAATATTGTGTGAACCTCCCAGGACGTGCCATTTAGCGAATTTTCATGGCCTCCCGCAAAGTTATCAATACGTTAGTTGCTTTAGGCGCGCATTTTAATAATATACTTTCCTAAACTCGGGTGCACATTTATGTGACCCAAGTCCAAATCTCAACGAAGTGGGAATGTGTCAAAAATCGCGGGTGCATTTATGTGACGTGGTTTGAGATGCGTTTTCACGACGTTGCAATTCTCTTTAAAAATAATAATAATAGCGGTTTAAATTTAAAAAGCACATAAGTTAAAACATGTATTAAAATCAGATTTTTAGCCAATTATAATAATTAAGCGACCGTGCTAGAACCACGGGATCCGGGGGTGCCTAACACCTTCCCTCGGGTCAACAGAATTCCTTATTCAAAATTTCTGGTTCGCAGACTCCAAATGGGAAGTCGAAATTTTCCTCGATCTGGGATTCAAGTTAAACCGGTGACTTGGGACACCAAAAGCCAATCCTATCCCAAGTGGCGACTCTAAAAATAAATAAATAATCCCATTTCGAATAATGTCACTTTAAATGGAAAAACTCCCTTATACATTATCCTTCGGGGTAGGTGTGTAAAAAGGAGGTGTGACACTAACCAAACGACCCCTTAGATGCTATTGCTCAGGATATAGTGAGCTACTTAAGGTTTAAGGTAAGGGCACTCCCAGCATAGATTACCTAATAAAATCTTAATAATAATTTTTTTTTTTTCATTTACTACTTTTCTCCATATTACTGGTTCCAGTTGTAACTTGTAAAGATTGTGAAAGTATCCCACCAAAAAGATTTCGCCGCGTAAAGCGTGTTTCAGCACGACCCCCTAAATTCTCGAAAATTACTTTTGGATCCCCTATATTTCCGCTTTCTATCTCTCTACCCCCCAAAAATATTATTTCTTCCCCTTACTCGGCAAGGAAATAAAGCAGCGGTAAAAGCTATAAATATGAACATCTTCTATAGCTAGCATTAAATTCACATTCTCTTTCTCTAAATAAATTACCTAATAAAATCTTAATAATAATAACTACATACATATAAGGTAAAAAAATCCATCAAATCTCCATTTCCATATTTTTCTTAAGATTTTCAAACAACCAAAAAGAAGACTGTTTCTTTTTCCTGTCACATAAAAGGTGACTCTTTTATTTAGTCTGTCTCTTTCCTTTCTAACTTCTCACACACACACATATGTATATATTATACACACACAAATATATGTATATATATTTTCTAACATATATATAGACATATTCTTGGAACTTATGAATATTTAGATATTGTGTTTTTTGGGTTGTAAATAGCCGGCTGCTATTTACTTCATTTTGAAGGTGTCAAAAATTGAGTCTTTCAATTATTTTCTTTATAAAGTTTGAATCTTTCTCATCTGGGGTTCATTTTTATTCAATTCTGAGGTTGGTAACTGTTAATTAAAGTTCTTTTTTTTTCCTACTGCTAATACCAAGTCATAAAGATGGTTAATGGGATATTTATTTTAATGTGGAATATTAACTACTTAATTAAGAATAGTTAATTTTATTGGATAGTTTATGGACTAAGTCTGGTTGTAACATTTTGATGGGACCCCATTAAAGTTTTTTGTTACAGTTGTAAAATTTGTAATGTTTGTATACATGTATGTATGTGCTGCTGCATGTTGTTGAGAATCTGGAATTTTTTATTAGCATTTGCTTTGAATGTTTCTTACACGCCTTTGGTAGGCAGATTGTTTAATATTATATGTTAAAATTTGTTGTAGTTGTTTATGTGTATTGGACAAGGAGTGGAGGTCACATATCTCACTACTTATGCATGTCAATATAGTTCATATGTATATCATTTGGTTTGTATTGAAAAAAGCATCTGAATTTCCATTCTTTCTTTGGTTTTGGGGCAAAATATTTGGGTTTTTGGAAAGCTTTGGACTTTCTTGGAGATGGTGTAGGAAAATCTTGATCCTTTGTTCTTGTTGTACCTCATCAAGATTATAGGTATTTTTCTGGTGTTTCTGATTTTGGTTGTAATTTATATTTTTCTTGTGTTTTGGACTGAAAAATGCAATCTGTTAAACAAATGAATAGATGGAAATGGCTTGAGATATTGTGGAAGAGGAAAAGGGTTGGGTCTATGTTCCTCGAACTCTAAAGTGCTGTCGGACACTCCAATAATAGTGCATTTATGGAGGATCCGACACGAGTACAGTAGTACTTTTGGAGGGTCCGAGCAACAAAGGGTTGGGTCATAATTTTTTTTCGTTGTCCTATTGGAAACAGCCTCTTGCATAAATGCAGGGTAAGGTAGACCCTTGTGGTCCAATTCTTCCCTGGACCCCCGCATAGCTGGAGCTTAGTGTACCGGGCTGCCCTTTACTTTTTGTTCTATTAGAAGATTTTTCATTGTTTTGTCCCTTTCCAACTCTTCTTTTTTGCTGTTTCAAATGGAAGTGTTGTTTGCATTTTAGAGTAAATGAGTCTCTATATTTATAGCTAGCTAAAATTCTCTTGTTTACTTTATTGCCTTTGAGCAATTTCAGGTTCTGGTGAAATCTTGTTTGCACAAATTTTAGCAAAATGGCTGGAAGATCTTTCAAACCTTCAGATTCACAGCAGGCTAAGCCTCCGGGTGTGACCTTTGCCAGGAGGACTTCTTCCGGCCGTTATGTGAACTTATCTAGGGACTCCCTGGATAGTGAGATTAGCGCTCTTGAGTTTGCAAACTACACAGTGCATATGCCTCCGACACCTGACAATCAACCTTTTGATCCTTCCATTTCACGACGGGTTGAAGAACAGTACGTGTCGAATTCCTTGTTTAGTGGTGGTTATAACAGTGCAACTCGTGCACATATGATGGATAAGGTGATTGACTCGGAAACCAATCATCCTCAGATGGCTGGTACTAAAGGATCATCTTGCGCTATACAAGGCTGTGATGGAAAAGTCATGAGTGATGGGAGGGGTGAAGATATTCTTCCTTGCGAATGTGATTTTAAAATTTGCCAAGATTGTTATGTTGATGCAGTGAAAACTGGTGATGGGATTTGTCCCGGTTGTAAAGAGCCATACAAGAACACTGATTTGACTGAAAATGATGTTGATCCCTCTAGACAACATTTTTCTTTACCTTCAAATGATGGGATGTCTAAAATGGATAGGAGGTTATCAGTGATGAGATCAGCTAATAAGTCAGCCATCGTAAGGAGCGACTCGGGGTTGATGAGGAGTCAAACCGGGGATTTTGATCACAATAGATGGTTATTTGAGACGAAAGGAACATATGGATATGGGAATGCTATATGGCCACAGGATGAGGGATTTGGAAATGATAAGGACAATGGCATTGGCGAGCATTCTGAACTTCTCAACAAGCCGTGGAGGCCACTTACACGTAAGCTGAACATACCTGCTGCAATTCTCAGCCCATACCGGTAATTTCTAGTTCCAAGTAGTTTCAACAACTATTTATTTGTCTTCTCTGCTACATGTATTTTAAGCGCTAATATTGAATGAATGACTTTAAATCCAATTGCATAGTGCCATATTCTTTTAACTTGTTTGGCTCTGCTCTCTGATGTTTCACTATTGCCCCTTCATTCAATGACTAAAGCTAAATAAGTTTTATGTACCAATATTTCCTTCTAGTATACTTTGATCAATCTAGAATAACTTGTAGGGGGACTTCATCGCATACGTTATCAACTTTTGTTAATGTGCTTAATGCTTACAGTGTTTGAGAGACAGGATCCAATTATTTTTCCTTTATTGAATACATTGAATACTCCTATGTTGTAGGTTGACATAGCCAGTGGCGGAGCCACCTTATGCTAAGGGGTGCCAACTGACATCCCTTCGCCGAAAATTTACACTGTTTAGCTAGGTTAAAAATTTATATTTATGTGTATATACTATATGTTGACTCCCCCTATTTTTTTATATTTTGACACCCCTTAGTAAAATTCCTGGCTCTGCCACTTGACATAACGTGATTCTCCAATGCATAGTGAACTTTTACGAGGTCTGATGTATTGAAGGACTTTGATGTCCTTTCTGTTAATGTGTTTATATCTAGAATATACATATTTAGATGGTGAGATAAGTATCTTATTCTTGTGATTTTGTAAGTTCAGGAACTGTCTTGAAATATCTCCATGTTTTCAGGCTTTTGATCTTAATTCGTATTGTTGTACTCGGACTTTTTCTTCAATGGAGGGTCAGTCATCCCAACAATGATGCTATATGGTTGTGGTATATGTCCATAATCTGTGAGATTTGGTTTGCATTTTCGTGGCTACTCGACCAGCTTCCAAAGTTATGCCCCGTCAATCGTGCTACTGATCTTAGTGTATTAAAAGAAAAGTTTGAAACTCCATCCCCTGCCAATCCCACTGGAAAATCTGATCTTCCAGGAATGGATGTATTTGTTTCTACAGCAGATCCAGAGAAAGAGCCACCGCTAGTTACATCAAATACAATACTGTCTATTCTTGCAACGGATTACCCTGTGGAAAAACTTTCTTGCTATGTATCCGATGATGGAGGTGCTCTTTTGACTTTTGAAGCGATGGCGGAAGCTGCAAGTTTTGCCAACATTTGGGTCCCTTTTTGTCGTAAACATGATATTGAACCAAGGAATCCAGAGAGTTACTTCAGCTTGAAGAGAGACCCTTACAAGAACAAAGTACGTCAAGATTTCGTCAAGGACCGTAGACGTGTTAAGCGTGAATACGATGAATTTAAGGTTCGTATCAATGGCCTTCCTGATTCAATTCGTCGGCGTTCTGATGCCTATAATGCTCGAGAGGAAATCAAGGCTTTGAAGCTTCAAAGAGAGAGAGCCGGGGACGAACCTTTGGAACCTATCAAGATAACTAAAGCCACTTGGATGGCAGATGGAACTCACTGGCCTGGAACATGGATGGTAGCTGCTCCCGAGCACTCTAAGGGTGATCATGCAGGAATCATACAGGTACAGATCATGCTTGTTTATAGCGTCTAATAATGCTGTCATCCCATTTTCTTTAAGAGTTTGGGGGTCGTCGATTTTGTTGCCTAATTCTTTTTGCCTAAATGTCTTTTATTCAAAGGGGAACCTTGTAACAATGGTAAGGTTGTCTTCGTGTAACTTATAGGTCACGGGTTTGAGCCGTGGAATCAGCCACTAATGCTTGTGTTAGGTTAGGCTGCCTACATCACACCCTTTAGGGTGCGACCCATTCCCCAACCTTGCGTGAACGCGGGATGCTTTGTACACCAGACTGCCCTCTAAAAGTCTTTGATTCACAATTATTAGACCGCTTTATCATTTTGGTTCCTTGCTAATTGTAGGTGATGCTAAAGCCTCCAAGTGACGAATCGTTGCACGGTGGTACAACTGCTGACGGCAATATGATTGATTTTACAGAAGTTGATATTCGGCTCCCCATGCTGGTATATGTTTCTCGTGAGAAACGTCCTGGTTATGATCACAACAAGAAGGCTGGAGCCATGAACGCATTGGTCCGAGCATCAGCTGTCATGTCCAATGGCCCTTTTATTTTAAACCTTGACTGTGACCACTACATCTACAACTCACAGGCAATTAGGGAAGGCATGTGTTTTATGATGGACCGAGGTGGGGATCGTATTTGTTATGTCCAGTTTCCTCAGCGGTTTGAGGGGATTGATCCTTCTGATCGCTATGCAAATCACAATACTGTTTTCTTTGATGTGAATATGCGTGCCCTGGACGGCCTTCAAGGTCCAGTTTATGTGGGGACCGGTTGCCTCTTCCGAAGGATTGCTCTTTATGGTTTTGACCCACCACGAGCAAAGGACTACCACCCTGGTTGCTGCAGCTGTTGCTTTGGTCGGCGCAAGAATAAAGCCAGCGTTGCTGATGAAAAGAGGGCGCTTAGAATGGGTGACATTGATGATGAGGAAATGGATCTTGCTTTGTTTCCTAAAAGATTTGGCAACTCTAATGTCCTCGTTGAATCAATCCCAGTGGCCGAATTCCAAGGTAGACCACTGGCCGATCACCCTGCTGTAAAGAACGGACGACCTCCTGGTGCACTAACTATTCCAAGAGAACTTCTTGATGCTTCCACTGTTGCCGAAGCAATCAGTGTCATTTCGTGTTGGTACGAAGACAAAACCGAATGGGGAAACAGAGTTGGATGGATTTATGGCTCAGTCACTGAAGATGTGGTAACAGGTTATAGGATGCACAATAGGGGTTGGAGATCTATATATTGTGTGACGAAAAGAGATGCATTCCGCGGCACTGCACCAATCAATCTGACTGACAGGCTTCACCAAGTCCTACGATGGGCTACTGGTTCTGTCGAAATCTTCTTCTCGCGAAATAATGCTTTTTTGGCTAGTCCGAAGATGAAGATTTTACAACGGATCGCCTACCTCAACGTTGGCATCTACCCGTTCACTTCAATATTCCTGATTGTCTACTGCTTCCTCCCGGCACTCTCACTTTTCTCCGGTCAATTCATCGTCCAGAGCCTTAATATCACCTTTCTCGTGTATCTCCTTGTCATCTCATTAACTCTCTGCATGCTTGCTATTCTTGAGATCAAGTGGTCTGGCATTGCTTTGGAAGAATGGTGGCGTAACGAGCAGTTTTGGTTAATCGGAGGAACAAGTGCTCATCTTGCTGCTGTACTTCAGGGGCTGCTAAAAGTGGTTGCTGGCATTGAGATTTCATTCACTCTAACATCGAAATCTGCTGGTGATGAAAACGACGATGAATTTGCTGATCTTTATATCATCAAATGGACATCCTTGATGATTCCACCTATTACAATCATGATGGTAAACTTAGTCGCGATTGCAGTTGGTTTCAGCCGGACAATATATAGCACGATACCACAATGGAGCCGTTTGCTAGGTGGCGTTTTCTTCAGCTTTTGGGTGTTGGCGCATCTCTATCCTTTCGCGAAAGGACTGATGGGACGACGAGGAAGAACACCAACGATTGTTTTCGTTTGGTCCGGACTTATTGCCATCACCATTTCACTCCTTTGGGTTGCAATCAATCCCCCTGCAGGTACCACTGAAATTGGAGGTTCATTTCAGTTCCCTTAACTTTTATTACACGAGAACAACAACAAACCCAGACACCGAAATGTACGCAGACCTTACCCCTACCCTGGGAAGGTAGAGAGACTGTTTCTGAAAGACCCTTGAGTTAACTTTTATTACACAATCGATTCAAATTATTCTTTTAGTTCTATTTTCTTTCTATTCTTGATATGTAAGGAAAGCGAACAAGGGAATTGATTTTTTGGTGAATTTTTCATCACATTTGTCCTTGAAGTTTTTATTGTTGGCTCAATGTTCATAAGAAAGAACAGCAAATACAATACATTCTTTGTAATCAGAACCTCAAAATTACAATAGTGAAATTGATTCTTTTAATAGTCTTTTCTATATTTTTTTTGCTTCTTTGAAGTTTTTCAACTTTGCTGCATGTTTCATGAGAAAATTTGATGGTAAATACCTAATCGCGTCTAATGTTTACACCAAACCAAGAGATATCTCAGCAATTGCAAATTGAAGGCGGAATACATATTCCTTAACCATGGTTAAATGATAAATGTGTGAATGAAAAATACGTCTTCTTCATTGATTTGGTGTAAACACCAAGTGCTTATATTTTTTTCCAAACTTTAACATGATCAGACACTTAGCATACCCGCAGTGGTGTTTACACTAAACCAAGAAATTCAACCTTAACAATTATAAATTTTGTTTCTGGTTTTCCCATCCGGTGTCCGGTACCCACATTGAGGCCCGACTAAATCTGAATTCGCATCGGGAAGTCCCACGTCGGGGGTAAGATGGTCCCTAATAAAGGCGATTTCGTACCCTGGGCTTGAACCCGAAACCTCTAGTTAAGGACGAAGGACTCCTTACCGGTTCACCACAACCGTTATTAGTAACAACTAGTATTCGTGCCCGCGCGTTGCACAGGAATACCGTATACATAAAGGAGCATGAAAGAATTTTGATTTTGCGGAGTTTGAACATTCATAAAAAAGTTGGATGGGTTCTCCACCTTCCATTTACATGTCTTTATAGAGTTTCAAAGCTTCATCAAAATTTTCATTCAACATATAGCCATCAATAATTGCTACCTAAGAAAAATACTTTTATACTTCAACCTATTAAAAGTCCGCCTTCCCAGTTCAACCCTGAAACTTTTCGAATACATAAAAATGCAGCTCTTTTCCATGGTACCGGTTCTTCTTAACATCTCCACACAAAGAAAGACTGTAAATGCATCAAATTTTCAAACTTCAAATTGCAACTCCTTAAAAAAAACATAATTTATCATTCAAAATTCTGTCTTTACACCCTTATACCTTAAAATCACAACATTAAACGACAATATATTCAGGTGCAGCATTTCAGGAGATCAATAAAGAGATGCCAATGGCACATACCTGAAGCACACGCTGAACTTAAAAGAACCGGTTTTCACCAAGAGTCTCAAAGGACTAACGAACATTTACATCTTAACATGGAATAGAATTTCTTGAGATCAAGTGCACCAACTAATGTTAATGAGGAGAGACATGTACTTGAATGTGTTATTGCGAAAGATCATTCATTGCACAAACTGACACCTGATAAGAAATCAACAATAGAATAAATACATTCAATAGGAATACCTCAAAGAAAACATTGAGCGTGAATAAATTTTTACAATAAAAGGGAGTAGATAAAGAATATTATGTAATAATGTTGAAGCATATTTTTGCTTAAGAGAAAATGTACAGATTTTCACGTTAAAATGGATGTCTTTCCACAGTTATTATAACATGGTATTTTGAACAAAAAATAAATAAATAATGAAGGACTTAATGTGAAGAGTGAAGTGGAGCCGAATTTAGTTGTTTTGAGAGTCTGCATAGACAAATTCATCAGTTAAAGCCTCCTTAAGCTCTTATATGCATTCAAATTCGGCTGTAAAAAAAATTATCACACAATAAAAATCGAACAACTGAAGAAATATCAGAACTAACAATTCCATCAATCAAGCAAATAAAACTACACAGGTCAGCACCAACCATTAAGCTTTGCAATAATCTTTTCAAAACTTACTAAAAATAATTTTATAAAAGAAATAAATTTCCACATTGTTGCATAAAACTTTTTATGTCAAGATCATCATAATGCTTCTTAAACTAACCACAATCATGCGAAACCAAAAACTTACTTCATAAGGTCTGAAAATACGCTAGAATTTTTGTACAAAACCAATAATAGCAAAATAGTTAATTTGAAGTTAATAAAAATTACTCAATACATATAAACCTCATCGCGACTGTTATCTGTGATTTTCTTCATCTGTAGAACCTCCAAAAATAAAAATATTGGTATTCACAAATTACCTGACTTCATATGGGTTGATCTTCACTTTGGGGCTAGCAGACGTAATTGTCTGATCATGAGTGGATGATTTGAACACAAGAACCTTCATGTTAGTAGCCTTAATGAATAAACTTTCGAGAACATTGAATGCCTCCTTTGTTGATCATTTTTAAAGGTGAAGCAAAAAGTTAAGAGATTACTCATTATGGGTAAACCACCAATCACTGGAGATCGAATTGACTTTCAATTGAAATCATTCGTAATTTTATGATATATGGATATGAAATTTTCTGATATTTCAAGTGCACCATGGTAGCTTGATATTGACTCAACTGGTAACTCTGTAGAAGTGCGAGCAAAAGAAAATAAAAGTGTTAAAATAAAAATACTATGCTATTACAAAGAGATGATGCACCGGCAAAATAGAATTTTTCTTGTCAGAAAGCGCAAAGTTGTTAAAAGCACAACGATAGAAAATGAAAATTGAGTTCAAGAAATATCTGTACAAATATACAGAGAATCTTAACCTAATTTGTGTATATAATGTAGTTGAAGAAGTCCTCTTTCCAATGGCATAAGCAGATCATAATTTCGACGTGCCTGCAGCGAGCTGTATTATTTTTTAGTCGGGACGCGCAAAGATATAAATGTATAATGACAGAAATTTAAAACTGAGTTCAAACGAGTATTTGTATAAATGTTCAAAGAATGGACCACAAGTTATATTTACAACTATGATACAATAAAAATAAATATATAATGAACACTAATATATACTAAAACGTTGAAGCAATTCTAGATATTATGCATCTTACAAAATTTTAGTGCTCGATATATCGCACTCACCGTGATACATTAGCCATCAAACACAGGTGACTGAAGTTATATTTGAACACCAACATTTACTCTGCAGGATATTGTTGTATTGTTCCAAAACTTTATTAGTAAATACTACAAAAAGGGCAACCCGGTACACTAAGCTCCCGCTATGAGATTTTTTAAAGCATTACTTATCTAGTATCCTAATTGGGCTTTGTATATTTTTTTAATCAAAATGAGTAGATCTCTTAGCATTCATATCTTCGTTTATGTGAACTGACCCTACAATACATGAGAGAAATAAACATGATAGACTTAAATATTGAGATTGAAGACCTGCAACTCAATCATTTGAAGATGCATATTTGCACAAACATAAATAACAAAAAAGGATAAGGAGGGAATTCTGCACCTGTGCGCCGTATTTTTTTTATCAACATCAGCAGATAAGTTGCTATCCAGATCTTCATGTATGGGAATTAGCCCTACAGTACATTAGAAAAATTAGACGGGTGACCTTAAATATTGATATTGAAGCACGATGCATATGTATGTCACTTATTTGAAATGAGAATTATTGTCCTAGATTGTTTCCTTGGAAATTATCATCTGTTTTAATGTCAGCCTCAGATTGTTGTCCTAGTTTTTGATTTGTTGTCTGGTAAACACAATTGTGAATCCAACTTTAAGAAATAGATAGAGTAATATTTGTACTACACAAAATTGTTTCATATATAAGCAAAACTTCTACATGCTCGTCCTAAAGAAATAAAAAAAAACTTTCAGATGATAAACTTTCAGAAACAGAAATAGAATACCGGTTCTACACATAATCGTTTAATTAATACAATTTATTGTGGAAAATATATCCATTAAACCAGGAAAGAAGAGAAACTTTAAAACTATGTAAATGTTACCTTTGCATCTTGTAAAATCAACTCTATGAAATTTGGTATTTCAGGCTTGAAACGATCCGGAATTTCCCACATTCGAAGGGCTCTAACTTTGAGATTATTTTGAGTTGCTTGAAATTTGACTGATTTTATGAAGTGTTGTAACCATATTTGTAAAGTTGTGTATTTTGAGCAAAAAAAAAAAAGGGAACGGAAAAGAAAATAAAAGGAGGAGCAGACGTTTGGGACAGTATCAGTGTAGGAAACAGCTTTTAAGTTATGGAGTTAGGTTTTGATACCCACGTTTGCAAAGACGATCGTGGAGTGTTTTTTTTTCTTTTCTTCCTGTTTGTAAAATTTTCTATTTTTTATCGAATTTTCAGGTTTTAATAAACTAAATAAAAAACTAATAAAACAACGTGGGTGTCAATTCTTTTTGAACTGATTAGACGCTCGTGAAGCGTTTTAGTTTTTCTTTTTTCCTATTTCTATGTAAAAATTTTGTAAAAGTTTTTTTGGCGAATTTAGGTTTATAATAAATTAAAAACTAATAAAAAATTTAGGAGTCTATTTTTTGGAATTGGAGTAATTGTAATTTTTTTTTAGTTTTCAGTTTCAATAAATATATGCCCAAAAACGTGGACTCCATGATGTGAATAAATTTTGTAAGTTTTTTATTTTATTTTAAGTTTTTTTGAATCTCCAAATTTATTGGAGGTTGGTCCTAAAACTTTACACATGTTAATATTTGGTTGTGACACTTGGCACAATAATATGGCACAATAAAATCATTTGCCATGGTTATTGGTAACAACTAGTATTCATACCCGCGCGTTGCGCGAGAATATTAAACATAACTTTTATTAGAAAATATTGCTTGGAAAATACGATATACACAAAGAAGCATGTGAATGGTATTATTTTATGAACATGTAAATGCAATCGATATCCATAGTTTTGCCTCTCCTATAATTTATTTATTTTGCTTTTCAAAAATTTGGATTTTTCTGGTGATGAACTTATCATCATATGCTTGTTTGATATAGATAGATTTTGCTTTTTTAAAATTGAATTTTTTCTTATCATCCTCTCCTTGTTTTGCCTCTCATATTATATAAGATATATTGTGGTTTTAAAAAATAGAATTTTCCTGGTCATGACACTTATCATCCTCTCCTTGTTTTGCCTCTCCTATTATATATATAGATAGAAATATAGAATTATTTTCAATAGAAAGTTTTAATTTTTACATTCTTTACTATGTTTGTTGTGATTATTTCATTATTATATATTTTATTTTATGTGAATTGATAATGACCTGTGAAGGCT